GTACTCTTTTATGTTTTTCATTGAGATCATTTCTCCAAAATCTGGCTGTATTAGTAACGCTGGACGGAATCCCATAGCTCTTTTAGTGACATGTAAAGCTCTTAGGTAATTGTCTTAAAAAGAAACATTCATTGTGTGAATTATTAGTCCCCTCCCCACTCTGTCATACATATGACACAGATGGAAAGTCTAGTGCTGTGTATATGTATATTACATATACATATAAATTGTCGTCATTGTTGCATTAACATAAGAACAGTCTTGAAACTGGTTCCCTCCATTTCATATTAACCTTTTGTTGTTCAATATTGTTTTCTCCTTGCCTGAACCAGAGCTGTTTTCATTTTCTGGGTGTTGTGAAAATTGAGGTATGACTTGAGTTATACACGTTGGATGATGTCTTTGCTTTGATACTCCCTAGCACCCGCACTTGAGATGGATTTGTTTGTTTTATTCATTTAGCAAAGTGCCCATTATAGAGTGCTGAACCATACTCCTGACACTGGGATAGGCATGTGAGGGGTAAGAGGAGGTGCATGGAGGACAACACAAAGATGTATATGACACTTTTTCATTGTGTGTGACCTTTTCTGGAATTTTGTCTTTACACAAAGAATGAATTTCTTTTTTTGAAAGTAATTTTTTTAACCTCCAAGGACACAGATGATCAGCTCTAACTTATGCCATTGCCTTTGAGAACTTGGTGTCTCTTAGAAGCTTTGGCTGTTCTGGGAGGTCCAGGCCAGGCCAAAAGGATTCATCTACTCACTGCCTTGCAGCCAAGGCCAGCTGACACCATGCATGTTTTCCACTTTACCTCCTCAGAGGCCACAGACCCAGCCAGAAAGAAGCTGCTCCTGTGGTCTCTGCAGTCAGCCCCAGCTGTGAAGGCTGCGGCGTCTTCCCAACGCCTTCTGCTGTTTTCTTGGAGCCTGCAGTGCACTCTGCATTACTTAGGGAGTTCCAACTGGAATAGCTCTTGAAGGCCCTGCTAGAAATTTGCATCACAAAGGCCAAAGACGCCAACCTTCTTGGGCTTTGTCAGAGATTGTGTGACAGAAAATTCCCTACACAGGATCTGCCCCTCCTCATCCCTTTCACTTTCTCTCTGTGTCTTTGTTCTTCACTCTGGTAATGGAAATGAGAAGGGTCACACAGCCCATTTGAAGAAGAGATTATCTTCTGCTGGTGAAAAAAAAAAATGCCATTTCTTGGGCTGAGGTGAGAGGTTTCTGGCCACTGTGAAACATCAGCCTTTGCAGAGTAATTTCTCTTCTGATCACGTTTCTCTAACAAAATGGGTATATTGACACACATACACACGCACACACATACTCACACACGCATAGTATTCCATTGAGGGCAATAGACAAATGTTGCAACAAAAATCTCTCTTCTCCTTACGCGTAGTCTGAAGCCAAAGTGAGGATGCAGATTTGAGGAGTAAGAAGCACTGTGACTCAGCATCGAGTTATGTCTGTGCTCTGGTCAGAGAGAGCTCTCCAAGGTCAGGGATGCTGGAGGAGGCGGAACTCATATAAAAACCATAAGCATGCTCAGGCCCCAGGCCAGAAAGTTATTTTGAAACTTTACAGCCACTGCTTTGTATGTTACACAAACATGCTCTTTATTTCAAAACCATTTTAAACTTACAGAAAACATGCAAGGACAGAACAGAAAATCTTAACTTGCTCTTTGCCCAGAAACCCCATTTAAGTTTCACCCATCACCTTAGCTCTGTCCTTTAATGGAGAGAATCTAACTCCAGGTAGCACCTTGCATCCAGTTGGCCTGTCTCTCCTGGTCCCTCCAATCTGGAATTGTTCTTCACTCATTCCTTTTCTTTAATGACTTTGGTGTTTTTAAATTATAGGCCAGCCATTTTGTAGAATAACCTCTAATTTGGGTTTGTTAAAGGGTAATTTGTTAAACGTAATTTTCAGGGAAAAATAAAATCATAATTCTCCTACAGATGTGAAAATTGATTATACAAATTGGGTAATTCTTATTACACCCAATTAAGTCACAGTTGAGGAGCTGAGGCAAAAACCACATGGGCACATGGTACCTGCTCCAATAATTGAATTGTCTGCAAGTCCAGCTGCTAAGGTGGCCTGATGTAACCCTAAGACCAGTTTTATCTAGTAGCTGCTGAAATGACCTGCTGTGACTCTAGGATTGGTTTTAACTATCGCTGTCACTCACCAATCAGAGCTTCGCATCTCTCAAACACTTTAATGTCTATAAGCTTTATTTCAAAACCATAGGTAGCATTCTTATTTCTAATAAAGCTCCTAACCTTTTCTTTGTTCCTCAGACATAACCAAAGACTACCAGTCTATGTGTATGCTTTGAATTGCAATTCTGTGGTTCCCCAATAAAATGTTTAATTTAGAGGTTTCCCTCTATATTACATGTTGACTTCAGATATACAAATCAACAGGTGTTAAAACAATTTATTTGATTCATATGATGTGATGAAACCTGTCAGATGTTATAACTTTAAAGGAAAAGTTAAAAGATCACAAATTTATATGGAGGAAAGGATTGTTGAGATGAAGTTGCAAATGGAGACAAAGCTGGCTTTCCACCACTGGAAAGGAAGTCAGTTAAATCACTGCCAGACAGGATGTATATATATGTATTTCCATCAGTTACCTCAGTTTACAGAGAGTTATAAAATAACTCAAAGACAACAGGACTAGAATCTGATAGCCCGAAAGCATATGTTGTGGGCACTGCTTAGTTTTCTATTGAAACACAGTATTTTGTTTTCTACAGATTTATCCAGTGTTCTCTCATTACAACAAACATCACAACAAAAATTTCTCTTCTCCTTATGGAGAACCATGTTGTATGTCTTTGGCTGGAATATAACAGATGGTTGTGACTTTTTTTTTCCGTTTCGTCCTGTTGATGGCACATGGCATCTGTCTTATTACTGGTGTTAACTTTGACCACTTCATTCAGATAGCATCTTCCAGATGTCTCCACTGTAATACTTTCTCCCTACCTTAGCAGTTAATTCATGAAAAGTATGTAGGAAGACACAGTGAAACTGTAAAGCCCCACTCCTCACCCCAGTTTCACCCGTCAGTTTTGACATTGACATTTCTTATCTGAATTAATTATTGCTTTGATGATTTTCGAAGGGGAATTTTCTAATCCTTCATTTTTTTCTACATGTATTCTTTGGTTTTCTTTGGTAGTAAGAGCTCTGTTTTCTTCCTGTGTATTTGTTCACCTACATGTTAATCTCCAGTGGGGAGCTCATACCACTTTCTGAGAGCCACTTCTGTACAGCTCTGTTCTGCTCTGTGTTCATTGATTTCATGTTGGTTCTTTTAAGTTGGCCATGGTGAGAGTAATTACACTGTGGAAATTGGAAAATAATACCAAGCAGATATGTGTGTTTTTCCACAGAGATCTGGTGTTTCAACATCAGTACATCACTCTATAACACTGTGGACTCATTCATTCCTGTTTTATTCAGTAGGCTTAATCTATCACTATTTTTACTGATTTTGATGCTCAACATGTCCCAGATTTGTTATGTGGGAGCTCCTTCAAGCTGACTTCTGTGTCTCATTATGTTTTTGAGCATTTCTTTACTTTATGGCTCAACAAGATGTTCCAGAATTATCTAGATCTCCTTGCCCCACCGCTGGCATGAGCCACTTCCCCAAGGGAGCCCCGGTTCCTTTTAGTAGAGAGTAGCCTCTGGCCATTGCGTGCTGCCAACTTCTGCTCAGGCCTGCCTCTCCCCTCTTCCTTTCACCCTTTCACCCTGCCCAAAATGCCTTTTTGATGAAGGAAGGAGGGGAAATAATAAGTATTTTAAAAAGAAAGACAGGTAAAGGAGGGGAGGGGAAGAGGAAGAAAAAGACTCTTTATATACATTTTTAATCCCCTTCCCACAAATTTTACCAGAGACTAAATCTAGTCTTCGCCTGGTAATTTGGGTTTCTGTAGTGGTTACGTTTTATGTGGTTGAGAGTGTGAGAATTTCTGAAAAACAAAATCATTTGTCAACTGTGTATTGAATCCTACTCTGGATGTGCCTCACCTTACACTAGTGTCGCAATGCAGAACCCTGGCCCTCAAGGAGCTAGAAGGACAGTGAGATGTGCTGAGACTTACAGCCAATGTGTCCTCAGGGCCTGTGGACTGCAGATGTAGGCACCACCTCTGCTGTGTGAGGAAGAGAAATCAAAAGTCAAAGAGACTTCCCAGAGGAGCCTAGAATGAGATGAGTTTGGGGGTAGGACTTTGCAAGTTGGGCAAAGAGGGGGCAGGTGTTTCATACAAAGGGAAGATCATACTTGAAGCCGGAGAGATTTGGCAGACATGAGGAATGGGGTATGGTTTGGCCAGTTTTGAAACGCTTGTTTCTTCATATTATTGAGTCTAGTTTTTTTTTTAAAAGGGTAATGATCCTTTCTTATAGCCAGATTTGCCAGTTCTGAGCCACCAGCCCAGAGTTTCAGTTTTGGGGTTTCACACTAGTGCAATGTCTCCTTGCAAAGACATTGATTGCAGCGTCTTCCTGCAGAAGAAGCCATCTGAGAAAAAAACAGAAAAAGTAAAATTGGTGGACAGTCTATCAAAGAAAGATAGTAAAATATTTCTTTATAGTCAAGTGCTTTTTAGCTCAACTTGTTTTCATTGAAAATTAATCTATTCTTATTTTTAGGGTTCCCCTGCTCCATTGAACACAGAACCATTCTGATCTAAATGGACTATTCTGGCTGTCTTTACTCATAAGCAAATGCAGCTGGTTGATGACAGTAGTTTAATGCTGATCTTTTGATTATTTCTGATCATTAAAGAACAGCAGTTTATTACTTTGAATGATGTCTTGAAATGGATAAAGCTCTTTTGCTTCATAGCAGTTAAATCTGTCCTAAACCTAACCCTGAGTTTTCTTCAAAATATGTTCTTTATGTAAAAATTGTTGCTTTTAAGTGTGCTCCTCACATGGTTGTTTTTAAATTTTGCAGGCGATACCAGAAATTGCAGAAGATCATGAAGCCTTGGTAAGTTTATATGATCAATTGATATTGATGATTTAACCCTTCCTACTTTCCTGCATAATTGAGCCCTGTCCTCTGATTGTATAACTATGCATCTAGTATTTTGAATAAGTGATTTTTGTTGTGTTTGCTTTCTGTTTGATGTTCTTTTATAAACAGCTTCTTTAAAAATGCATTTCCCCCTCTTTTTTTTACTTTGCAGTAGAAAGAGTATTTTATATATGTAACCACTAAGAGATGCTATAACCATAGAAAGATTGCTACCCTATTCCTGGAGCAGTGCTAGGCATAATTTTATGTGTTACTTTAAACAAAACTTTCATTTTTTGTGGCCTGTATGATGTTCAAAGTCAAAAGTCTTTGATTTTCTTCAATGACTCAGAAAGAAAAAGGATTCACACTTTTAAAAGTATCCAGGATTGAAGGATGCAATGAAAATTATTTACTTTGAGTCTGAGAAAGTGCTTGATCACCTATCTATGAAGTGAATTATATAATTGTATCTGAAGATAGAGAACTTCTTTCTTAGAGTTTTCCCTTCTAAGTTTCTTTCTTAACCATTAAACAGAGTGAGTCCAAATACAGTCTAACAAATTCTTTGAAGTAGGGTAAACCAGTTTTCACGGTGCCGAGCCATTAAGCAGATAATTTCAGTTTGAGAAGGAACACCGCCCAGCATCTCAAAGTGTGAACTTTAAAAGCATCTCAAGGTGTGAACTTTATTTTCTAAGCGCTCAGAGAAAATCCTCATCACCTTCAATATATTATAGTATTATGCTGGTCTCAAATCATTCATCTTCTCCCATCCTTCACACACAGAAAAAGTATGAGTTGCAGGAACTCTCCTGTTTATTCAGTTCTAATAAAGTAGAAACCAATATTGAGCTTCTAGGGTAAAGCTTCTTAAATTTCATTTTGATATGTTTAATACAGTAGGAGCACTTAATGGTAATGGCAGTAGAAGCCACTTTTTATGAGACTTTATCCTGGGCATTGCCTCAATGTTTACACTCATTACTCCTAATCCACACGTATATTCACCGTACAAGTTCAGTATTTCCTTGGTGCAGAAGTTAAAATCAGATGGAGGAGCTGGCATTCAAACTTATTTTCTCCCCATCAGCTTAATAGAATTTGTGAATATAGAGGAATTGGGGGCCCTGAAGCCAAAATCATTTCTTTAAAATTTATTAGCCAGTTGTTTTGATCTTTTGGTATGTAGATATGCTGAACCATTTGTAGTTCATGGTTTTTTATTTATTAATTGTAGACAAAAGTCAATAGTCAAGGCCATGGTTCTGGTAATGACAGAGTAGCACAGTCAGACTAATACAGATAACAATTATGAAATCTAGACAAAATATTATAAACAAAACATCTAAAACCAACTATATGAAGGCACTGGGTAGCAACTAAAAACAGGCAGAAGGTAGAGGGAAGTTAACCCTTGAGAGACCAGATGGTATTGATGGGATTTGTGTGTTTGAAGCTTCTTGCCTGAGAACACCTACTCATCCAGGCAGCATGAGGTGGCAGAAAGCCTCAGTCTTAGTAAGTTACTAAGAAGATGTAGTTTGGGACTTCAGAGCAGTTAGCTAATTAGAGGGAATCCATGGAAGAACAGAAGTCCAAAGAGTAGCAGACTCCACATCTACCCCTATAAACCCTGTCCCAGTCCACTGCTGATCATTGTAGTGCACATGCACTCTTTTAATGGTCAAAACAATACCTGGAAACTAAAAGATTTGAGCAAAGATGTCAGCTATCACTCACTGCAGAATTTGGAGTTTGATTAATTTCCTGCTAGAATAAAAATCATCATTCTTCAGAGGAACAAAATGGAATTGTGAATATTGACAGTGTTTTGTTCACAATGTCCAATATGTAATAAAAAATTACTAGGTATGTAAGGAAATAGGAAAATATGACCTATGGTTAAGAAAAAAATGTAGGTAGTAGAAACTGACCCTGAGATGATCCAGATGTTGAAATTAGCAGATGAAGGTTTTTAAAAAACTTTCATAAATATGTCAAAAACTAAAGAAAAGTATGCATATAATGAATGCACAGATGGGGAGCATTAAAAGAGAAATTGAAACCATAAAAATAACCAGATGTCAGTTATAAAATTGAAAAGCACAACAGTTAAAGTGACAGTTTTACTGTATGAGGTTCAAGATGTGAGAAGAGAAAGTAGTTTTGAAGATATATCAGTGTAAGTTACCCAATCTGAAAAGTAGATAAAATGAATAATGAGTACTTGACCTGTGAGATAATAAGTGATCTGAAATACATTTAATTGGAATCCCAAAAGGAGAGGAAAAAGAATGGGAAAGACAAATATTTGAGGAAATAATTACAGAAGAAAATGATGATGGAGACATATAAAGCAAGTTCTTCAGACTGGACAAACATGGTACTAGATAGACATTCAGATCTGTAGGAAAATATGAAGAACACCAGAAATTATAAACGTGTGGGTAATATAAAAAGATAAAATATTTTATCTTGTTACTTCCCTTTAAATTCCCTTAAAAAGCTATAACTATGTAAAGCAAAAATTATAATACTGTTTGGCAGGGTTTATGACATATGTAGATGTAATATGAATGACAATGAGAGCCCAAAGGATGGAGGTATAAGAGAAACTACATTACAGTAAGCTTCCTAGTGTATAATCTTTCCTTTAAGTAGATATTAATGGTGCACATTGTAATCTATACAGTCACAACTAAAAACAGTGCAAGGAAACATAGGCCAAAATACAAAGGAGGAATTAAATCAGACTACTAAAAAATATTTGATTAATTCAAAAGAAGGTAAGAAAAGAGAAGTAGAATAACATGAAGTTGAGACAAATGGAAAACAAATAAGTTGGTTGACTTAAATCTAATCATATCATACATTAAATACAAATAGACTAAGCAGTTCAACGAAAAGGTTTCGATTGTCAGACAAAATTTTTTAAAAAGCATGGTCCAGCTCTATGCTGTTTATAAGAGATATAAAGACAAGGGCACGTGTAGGTTGAAAATAAAAGGATGGAAAACATATACCATGCTAATGCTAAAAATAATATAACTGAGTGGTTTTATGAATATCAGGAAAGATAAGACTTGAAAGCAATATATTATCAGAGTTAAATAATTAGTAATAAAAATGGTCAACTCATGAAGAAGATTTAGTCCTCCTTTGTATTTTAAACATGTATGCATCTAAAAATTTTAAATGTGCATGCACATTTAAACATGTATGCATCTAAAAATTTTAAATGTGCGTGCACTCAACAACAGCAGAATATGTATTGTTTTCAAATACACGTGGACTGTTTATCAAGATAAGACTCAAAAATTTCCAAATGATTAAAATTACACAGATTATGTTATTTGATCACAGGAAATTAAAGTAGAAATCATTAACAATAAAATAGCTGAAAAGCCTCAGATGTTTGAAAATTAGAAAACACACCTTCATATTTATCCAATTGTCAAGGAATAACCCAGTTGAAATTAGGAAATATTTTTAACTGACTAGTAATGAAAATCAACATACCAAAATTTGTGAATGCAGTCAAAGCTATGCTTAGAGGCAAGCTTGTAGTCTTAAATATCTATTTTGGAAAGAAAGGTTTTAAAAAAAAAAATCAGTGGTCTAAGTTTCTACTTAGGAAGCTTTAAAAAATGTGAATTAAGTAAGTAGAAAAAAAGAATAAGAAGCATACCAATCAATGAAATAGAAAAGAGACAAACAATAGAGAAAAAGCCAAACGTTTTTAGGAAAAAAAAGAAAAGAGAAATCCAAATATCCATACCTGGAATAAAAATGGGACTATCACTACACATTATACTGAGACTAAAAAGGAAGTAAATATTGCAAATAATTTTATGTCAATAAATTTAACATTCTAGCACTTGGGGAGGCCAAGGCCTGTGGATCACTTGAGCCCAGCAGTTCAAGACCAGCCTGGGAAACAGGGCAAAAACCTATTTCTACAAAAAAATTCAAAAATTAGCTGGGTGTGGTAGCTTGTGCCTGTAGTCCCAGCTACTGGGTATGCCGCGATAGGGGATCACTTGAGCCAGGGAGACGGAGGTTGCAGTGAGCCAAGATTATGCCACTGCACTTCAGCCTGGGCAATAGAGCGAGACTTTGTTTAAAAAAAAAAAAAAAAAAGGAAAGAAAGAAAATTTAAAATGAAATGGACAAATGCCATGGAAAACAGAATTACCAAAATGTTAGCCATGGAAATGTGTTGCTTTGGCCTCCTTTCAGGAAAGAACTTGCTAGTCAGCCTAGAAGAGTATAGTAACTGATAGTTTTCACCTATCACACATTCTAGATTCATGTCAGGTTTCAGTACTCTCCCAAGGCAGCCTTTAGTTATTGAACATAGCAGGGACACCACAGCCTGGTCATTTCTACCCATTATAGGACTCTTAGGAGGCAGTGTTTGTTCTAGAGCATCCCACTAAGTTGGCTGAGACTTTTTCATGTCTGCATTTCCTTCCTCTTCCCCTTTCCTTTCCCACTCATCATATCTGCTTCTTGGTCTCAAGGCTTTCCATATCCAATCCTGCTCTCTGCCTGCTTTATCTTCTACAGGCATTGCCCAGCCTCCCACTCAATCTCTGCTCACATAACTCCATCTCAGCATCTGCTGCTCAGTGGACTAAAACTGACATATCAAAACTGACTCATGATGAAATAGAAAATGTGGACACCCATAGCTATTAAAAATTGAATTTGTTTCTCAAAATTTTCATACAACAACAACTGGTTATACTGGTGAATTATATTATATATTATAGAAGAAATACCAAATCTAAATATATGCTTTTAGAAAATAGAGGAGAAGGACCAGTTCTTATTATTTTATGATACCAGTATCACTCTGATACCCAAACCTGGCAAAGACAATATAGAAAATAAAAATTATAGACCAGATGCAAGAATCCCCAGAGGCACATTAATAAATAGAATCAAGCAATATATTAAAGGGATAA